CCAGGCGGGTCTTGAACCCACGGGCTTAGGCAATCCACTCACCTCAGCCTCCCAAAGGTGTGGAATTACAGGCTGAGCCACTGAGTCTGGCTAGATATTTCGATTTTGTTCGAAGTTTCTATAGTCATTATTCCATGGTTCTTACTCCAAGTGTGATCTGCTTTCCATGGTTCTAACTCCAAGAGTGATCTGCTTCTTTCAGTATGAAAAGTTTCTGTGTGTGTATGTGTTTTTGTTTTTGTTTTAATGAAACATAACACAGTTTCAACCTAGTGTCAAGTTCTATTCTCAGAGCATTTTTCAAAACTTCTTTGCAACAAAGATTTTAGGAATTCAAACACCTACTGCTACTAAGAAGATAAACTGTTCTTCACATTTTATACCTCCTTAGTACTAATAATATATGTAGCTGACTTACATATGAAAAATGGTTAGGGTTTATTTTTGAAGATTTTTTGGTATAATAAAAATAATAGGTTTATAAACAGGTAGTTATAATGTAAATTTGTTTCACAAAAGATAAATGCACAACTACTATACTACCACAGCACAGGAAGGTAAACAACTAACTTTGCATGGTAAAGCAAAGAAATGCTATGAGCAGTTGTTTATGAGTATGATGTCTTTGAATTTAAAGTAATACAGGGAATAGTCCTATTAAAATAATTATGGTTAAAATCTAAAATGCCATTGAGAGTCATAGGACAAAATTAAATCAGGATAAATGGTTAAGTCTTTATCAAGGCAAACTATGCTGCAGTGGAAGATATGGATCAAGTTGGAAAAAAAATAAAGTCAGCAGTAGTAGTTAAGGTTTTAGCTGGCGTTGTGGCTCAGTCTGTAATCTCAGCACTTTGGGAGGCCTGGGAGAGAAAATTGCCTGAGGGTTTGAGACCAGCCTGGGCAACGTGGCGAGACCTCGATTCTGCAATAAATAAAAAAAATTAGCCAGATGCGGTAACGTGCACCTGTAGTTCTGGCTACTTGGAAGGCTGAGGCGGAAGGATTGCTGGATCCCAGTAGATTGATACTGGGGTGGCCGTGAGTGTGCCACTTCACTCCAGCCTGGGCAATAGAGTGAGACTCCAACTCCAAAAAAAAGAGAAGGTTCTAAAATCATCTAGACAATGATTAGAAGTTGTCTTTGCTAAGACCTTGACAATGGAAATAAGAAAGATGGAAGCAATTTGGTAAAAAAGGTAAAGTGGAAGAATGTGTGGTTAGAAAATGTGCAGAAGGTAACTTGGAAATGGCCCCACTGACAAGAAGATACAGATGGAGAGTTTATGAAAAAAGATGCTGAACTCAATTTCTGATATCTTCAGATGAATGTGTGCAACCAAGTACAGGTGTCAAGTAAGAGTTGCATAAGATGTTAAATATGTTGATTTGTGGCCACTGCACTCCAGTCTGGGTGACAGAGTGAGATTCCAACTCAAAACAAACAAAAAATTGGCATCAACACTGGTAAAAACAGCTTTATGTTAATAGGGTGAGACGAGCTGTGAATGGATGAACAGTAAGTTGTTGGTAACCCTACATTGCTGGCTCAAACTGATCTTTTCGAATAATTTGTTTGTACATTGGACAATTTTTATTACTTAGTCTTTGGACTATCATTTATCAAAGCAAAGTATTCTGCTGTGGAGGGTATGGGTCATGTTTTCACTTACTTTTCCCTCAAGGATGTCTTAAAGGCAACTCCTGTCTGATTTATATGGAAGAGTTAATAATTTGTGTGTTGATACTTTCTGAATCCATAAATGTAGTGGATTTCTAAATATTTAACTTAAAACATAGAACTCTATAGTAAATATCTTCTTAGTGTTATTAATTACCCAATAAGCTGAGTATGCTCCATAGAAAGTTTGTAGGTAAAATACAATTTCCGCTTAAGCTTCAGATTTTATTTTTTCAAGGTGTGCAGACAAGAAAAATAAACTTCATTTATTCAGAACCTTTCAATTCTGTTCTTCCTGCTGTGATTTACAATGAACGAATACCATAGCTCATTTTGGATATGTCAAAGCCAAAAAATAAATAAATAAAATTTAAGCACAGATTTAAAACTATAATGCCACTAAAATCCAAAATGAAAATGGACATCTAAATCTTGAAATCTCAGAAATAAAAACTCTAGCATCAAAAGGCAATTAAATCACTGTCATCTAAAAAAATAAGTTTATGAATTAAATTAATAAATTAAAATTAAATGAAATTAAAAATTTCCCACAATTTTAGCTTCTAAATGCTGATGATCAAATGTGATTTTCTCCTAGCTAAATGTCACTTTTGCCCTTATAAAGGTTTACTGACTTTTATAAGAATAGTTTGCATGAGTTTGTACTTTATTCAAGACTGTTTGAAGCTGTATTTTTATTCTGAATTAGAAACATTACATAAGTTCCTCTAACTGAATATTGTAATTTCTCGTTTATTTGACCTTCTTAAATTAATAAGGCACTGTTTCATAGTTAAATGCTGTTTTGTTGAGTACAAATCAAAACATATATTTCAATAAGCTTACATTCAAAAGTAATCAAATTGGCATAACACTGATTTTTTAAATTTCTAAATTTATAGAGTTGAGAAGTTTAGAATATGTCTATGCTGTTTATACTTTCAGACCACCATTCAAGAAAAGAAGCGCCACATCTCCTTATCAAGAGGTTTGGAATGAAATATAGATGGACTTCCTCCACATAGTTTGTGTCACTTGAAGCACCATATATGGGAGTCTTGAGCCTCATGTCGTTAATATTTAAAAGAAAAATGCTATGCTTTAAAAATTAAAATGATGATAATATATTTAATCCCAAGAATGTTGTGAATTGTGGCACATTGAAGGCGTCTAGTCAATGTTTTTTCCTATCATTTTTTTCCTCTCAATACCCTTTATTTATACACACATACACAAATACATACACACACATACAAACTCCATCCATACTCATTGAGGAGTTTCCTACATGCAAAATATCAAACTCTTGCTCCAAAGAAAAGAGTTATTGACTAATCTATATTGTAATATAGATGCTTTTATCACGCTTTAGAAGTATGTGGAAGTATCTGGGGGGGGAAATACTGTTTTGAAGAGACTCCTCAAATTCTAAATCTCTTAAAAACTTTTACAAACAAAAGACTAGGAGTTAATGAAACCCATAAAATTTAATGTGTTTGGGATATTTAATTCTTTCCTATTAAGAAATCAATACCTGGGACGCG